ATATAGGTATCTGTTGAACACAATGTTTTATTGCTATGTCTACAATTTTTAAGTAATTTGGAAGCCTACCAGTATCTCTGTCTCTTCCTCTTCTTCTCTTGTGGGATTTCATTTTAATCACAGAAATACATGGATTTGGGGGGTGGTTAATTGGAGAATTTACTTTTTTGTACGTGTGTGTTTAAAATGAGAGAATTTGTGATTTTTTTTTTTTAAACAGAGAAACCAGGATCCCTGAAATGTGGGTTGTAACAAAATCTGATAATTAAATAGAGCTCAGTTTGAAAATAGCTTCAGAGGAAACAGGAAATGACTGTGGCCCATAAAGCCTTTCTTCCGCTTTCTGGCTTGAGGCAGAGAAACACAGGTTGCATTTACTTCCTTGGTCAAAAGTAAATTCTACAAAACAAAATCAGAAACTGGATTGCCCATTTCTGGGCCCATATATGGGCTCATTCTGTAAAATTAGCTTCTAAATGAGGCAGTACTCTCTACTCCTTTATTGCCAAAAGTGATTTGGATTAATAATAGAATGTAAACTCCAGGAAATTGTACTGTACATATGGGAGGAAACTAGTGTCTTGGGTGAAGTGATTTATGTAGTGTCACAGCTAGTCAGCTCATATTAAGGATATAGCAGTTCCCCTTGGGCCCATTCTGAGTCTTAGACCACAGTGGGTTGTTCCTTGATTTTTCAGGTATAAAAACTATGATGCTTTGTTTTGAATGGAGCAACTGAACTGCAGAAATCTTACCTGAACATGCGTGGAGTCCTTTGTCCCCTGTCCAAACTTGGGACATGTGGCAGTGTCACTTGTTTCAGTTTTTCCGACTTCATTTTCTTTTAATACATTTTAAAAAATGTTGAACGCATTCTGAGTTGCTCTGAAGATGAGTAATGCCTTCTAATCTGATCAGCTTGGTGTTGATAACTGAATATTATCTCTTAATAGCTCCTTATTCTGTTCATTTCTTGGTAGTTGACTTCAAATTGCTGTCATGTTCAATATAATGTTTCTGAACACTGAGTGCTCAGAGGGGACATGGAAGTAGATTCTTCTAGTAATGATGTAGCATGTTCATGTTCTCCTGGGAGAATTGCCACTCTCCTGGTAGAAACCACAAGTTTGTAGACATTCCAGATTTTTCTCCCAGAGCAAAAATCACTGTTTCCAAAGTGAGAAGTAGGGGGACTTTGTCCTGCTGCTCCCTCTGCTTGGTTCCCAGGCACCAGGAGCTGAGCAGGTGGAGTAGTGCTGTGAGCCCCTGTCTGCCTCACTCCAGAGCTCCCAGTGAGAGAAGCAGATGGGGGGCTTTGCCCTGCTGTTACAGTCTCCCTGGGAACAAGGACCTGGAGCAGTCTATGTTTTCCTCAGATCAGGATCACCCTGGTTTCAGGAAGGTGGAAAGCAGGGTGATTGCAGATATGAAATGTTCTACCACTAGAAATGAATGTTTTATGTGGCCCCTCTACAAAATACAAAGGTATGAGATCTATACAAGATTCTGTACATCAGTCTTTTTTTTTTTTTCCTGAGGACTTCCTGCAGAGGGGTTTTGAAGACCAGCTTCATGTCTGACTTTCATTTTTAGCTTTTTCATACTAGAGAAATTACTAGTTTGGCTCACAGATTCACACAGATTCATGGGACCGTGATGCTTGCTTTCAGTACCCATGTAACCAGCAAAATCTGTGCCAAAAATAGCAATCTCTAACACAGATATATATCTTACTTGACACCTGTTTCATCAGTTTTTGTATGTACCATTTTTTGAAGAGTTTTCTATTTGATTAAGTTTAAGATACCTGGAGAATGTAGTAGGGTTGGAGTTTTGTTGTAGATGTGATGGTCCAGGAAATATAGTGAGAAGCAGGAGTTTTTTTGCATGGTAAGTTGTCTTTCACATTATTCACTTGGTCCAATAAAAGATACAACAAAAAGCCCTTGCTTCTCTGAAAAAATGTAGGTAGTGTTTTTAATATATATAGGCTAGAATTTGTGAGTAGGTTAGAGTGGAAGCAAAGAAATCTTTGAACAAATGGTAATGTAACTACCACGTGGTATATAGTTGCGTAAACATTCTTAAATGGTAGTGTTACTTAAGAGTTAATGTCTTTTTTGTTTTTCAGCCTTAATCAAATCAGATTTGCGAAGACACAATATAAATTTGGGGATTATGAATACTGACATCAAAGCTGTAAGTGGTGAAACTTTTTCATTTTGGTGGTTTTGCACTTGGCCCTTCTTAGCATAAAAATTTAGCAACAAAATACAGTACATGGGGCTGCTTTGCTCTGCTAGACCAGCAGATAGATAATGGAGGACAGGAGGGACTGCAAGCCTATTTTTCTGGGAAGCCACTGTTTGTTGATGTGAGTTGATAAATTCCACAGTAACAGTATAACTTCATTTTTACCTAGTTCTTAATTGTACATTGTAGGGAAGGGAAGAACTTAGGTCTTTTTATGAACATCAAAGTCAAACTAATTCACTAAACTTATTTTGTAAAAACAGTCCAACTGCTCCCAAGTAATGTGATCAGGAATAGCTTGATGCATATGTTAACACCATAATTCTTTCTACAGGTACCAGTTGATAGTCCTACAGAACATGAAAGGAATAATGCTATGTTAAGAGACCAGCCAGAATCTGCTATATGAGACTGAAGGAAAGTAATCTGCAAATGCACAAGTTTCATGTAATGCTGAGAAGCACTGACTAGTGTAATCACTGGACTGTATCTGAATAGAAAGAATTGTTTGTTAGATTGTTGGTGAGGTTGTGTAAAATTGGTGAAAACTACGATATGAAAGCTATGAAGATGCACAATTAATTTTGTCTAAGGCACAAACATTTTAACTTTTATTGAATATTTATTACAGTGGATTTTTCAAATTTTGTAGTCTCGCTAGTAAAGCTCTCTGAAGACTCTCCACCCTTCTGGAAGCAATGCAGTTTCAGAATACCAGTTCAGGGGGGAAAAAACAAAAAAAACCCCCAAATCAAAACCCTACATCATAAAATATGAATGTCATAGTAAATGGCCATTCTGTTTTTAAATTGCATCAATATTTATTAGCTAATTCACTTGTACACAATTAGATTTTGCAAATACAGAATTCCTTAGTGGTGAAATAGGCACCTGGTTAGTAGCACAGCTAGAAATTGAAAATTGTTGAAAGTATCAAAGTAATGGTTTATTTTTTTCCAAATTTTTTAGCAAGGTACATAGAACAAGAAATGACTACAAGTGTGAATGTGTTGCACTGAATCTGACGCATCCTTTGCCTTGAACGGACCAAAGCGTATGAGACTTCTTTATACCAAAATACAGGAAGCACTTTCTGTACAGGTTCATCATAATACTCATAGGGAGACTTGACATTTATCTACTGTAAAATTGTTTTGGTTTTATGTTGTTGTTTTTTTAAAGAAGGAAAATGTCTCTTGGTATCTCTGCATTAAAACATAAGCAACTGAGAGTTATCATGGACTTGTGTGAGTGTTTTTGATAACTTCTCAGATTGCTGAAGTGAATTGAGTGCATGTTTACAAAAAAGATGGTGCCTTTACTATTCTTCATTGTAAAGAGCAGCCTTGGCTCAAACTTCATTAAACCTGTGGCATCCTGTGTTGCTGAAGAAATTTCATTTCACCTCCTTAAATATATAAGATCGTAAGTGCCATATTGGGTTTAGACCAAGGGTCTACCTAGCCCAGTATTCTGTCCCTGACAGTAGCAAGTAGTAGATGCTGTTAAAGGGACAGTATATGAACTGTGCTTGTCTGGTGTAATCTAGCCCCTATCACAGGGGTGGGCAAAATGTGGGCTGGATGTGGCCTGCCAGGCCATTCTCTCTGGCCCGTGGGGCCCCTAAAAAATTTAGCAAATTAATAGTTATCTGCCTGTCATGTGGCCCTTGATGGCTTGCCAAAACTCAGTAAGCGGCCTTCCACCCAAAATAATTGCCTGCCCCTGCCCTATCATTTCCATCTTGGCATCAGCAGCTGTTAATTTAGGGAAGTCAGAGGATACATCTTTGACTTCTTTATTTTTAATAGGTCTCAATCGAATGTTCTTTGTGAATTTGTCTAACTTATTTTTTTTAACTTGATTATACTACCTATGTTTGCAACCTCCTGTAGCAGTGAGTTCCACAAGTCAACTGCATACTTAAAAAAAAAAAAAAAAAAAAAAAGGGGGGGGGGGGG